TGGCTTTGGTAGAAACAAAATTTAAAACCACATCTGAGCCTCGGTATTGTATTCCGCAGAGAAGCAATCTGAGACTGGCCTGTGTTTTGAATACAACAGACCGCAGTAATTTGTGAAATCAATCACTCCACCAAATGGTTCCAAAGATGTTATGTGAGCTGCCATGGCCACGCTGCTGCTGAGCTGTGGAGCCACCATTTGAACCCAGGCAGGTGGACCCTAGAGCCACTCCAGACCATCATGCTCCTCAGGAGATTTCCAATCCCTGACCAGGTCCCAGAATGTGTCCTCTGGCAAATAGCAGGACCAGGTGACATGACCAGGTGAGGGCTGTTTGATGACCAAAGTGTGAGGTGATCCTAGGACCCCGTGAAGGCTCCATTTCTGTTTTTCTCTAGACACGGGTGCTGGCAGGGGCAGGAGTTGTGCTTGCGTGGGGTGGGGAAAGTCCAGTGAAGTTTGTTCATTTTCAGCTGGGCTGAGGTTCTGCAAAATGTTGGCAGCAGAGGATTTCTTGGGGTACAGCAACCTCTGGGGCTGTTTGGCACTTAGGTTCTCAAAGCAGAAGCTCAGCGTGGCAGCCGCTAGCTTTCTGAGCACTAGAAAATGAGGACTTAATGCTTCTGCTCCTGACTTAGCTGCTGGGACACCCTAGGCTGCTTGAGTCTGCAGTGATAAGGTGTCTTGTCTCAAGAGTCAGGCCATTTGGGGAGGGCTGTTTTCCAGTGTCAGAGACAGATTTCCCCAGGGAGCTCCTTCTGTGTGGGTCAGTCAACTTAATTCTAGACCAGAAGTATGTGGGCGCCTAGTCAGAGGTCCAGCTCAAGACGGAACTGCCCCTTTGCCTCACAGAACAATGGTGAGGGTACACGGCTGGGTGAGTGGGAATGCTATGTTAAAGCCAAGGTAAAGATGGGCGACAACTTCCTGAATGATGTGCCTTTTGAGTTAAATCTATAGCCCTTCACCAACAACTTGATTAAAGTGGTCAGAGGGGCAAGGCTGGCTATGCCACACCAGTTATGGTAGCCACCACCACTGTCATTATGATGACTGGTAGCCGCCACCACCGTCATTATGATGACCGGTAGCC